TGCAACTTTTTGTTATTAACACAGATGCATCTTTTTCTTTCTTTCTTTCTTTCTATCTTTCTTTTTTTCTGTTTTTCCTTTAATCTTTCCTTCTTCCTCTCTAAATACATTTTGATCTTTCTTACTTGGTTTTATTCTTTTGTGTATTTCTTTCTTTCTCTATCTATATTTACCACATTTGCCTCTTCACTGATTCATTCCCTCATGTATTCAACTTCCTGTCCAGCCTGGTTTCTTCACTGGCCTCAGTAGATCTGAGTTCATCTCTAACTCCCTGCTGTGAGCTGGTTACTGATTAATGATGATGATGATGATGAATATGAAGAAGAGCTGGTTGTTTTTCTAGAGCTGTGGGGACTGTGGGATGCTCAGAGTGGAGGGTAACTGAACGGCAGGGACACTGAGACACACGATCAAACGTCCTGCTCAGGCAGCTCAGTACATGCAGAGTACATAAACTCTGCCTGTAAATCTGTTAACAATTTAATCTGATTATGATTATTTAGATTTAAATCCAACAATTCAATTAGACCACTTTGCTACAATTTATTTTGTATATATGTAATTCAAATGCGTCAGTCGGTTATATAAATGAAGTGTGTTATATCTGGGGGTGGGCAAAATGATTAATCTATACACCATGAAACATATTTGACCATACCAGTCAATAATATGTGCTGTTATGCAGAGTTGAACGAGTACAGTAGAGCACAAGACCACACAGTGCACAGCAGACGCCTCTGGGGGGGTGTGACCGTCCAGGTGGTCATGTGTGTGAGCAGCTGACAGCGGTGTGGAAGGATGTGAGAAGGTGTGTGATGTCTTGAGCTAAAAGCAGAGAACATCACCGACCGCCTTCATTCCACACCACCTTTCTGTCACACTCCCTCTGGGCACACCGGTCCCATCAGCACATCCCCTCCACGCTGTAAAGCAGAACACACACCTAGCACACACCCTTTAGCACTCTTAATGCAATGTGTGTGCTTGTTTGTATTAATCCCTTTGTTGGGACTGAAGGTCTCCAGTTTGAGGAAAGCATGAACATATAGGGTCTGTTGTAGCCTTTTTTGCCGGTTTCAGGTGCAAATCAGATGCTTTTTGTTTGCGTGTTTTCTACGAAACTGGCACGAGTGTAATTTATGGGCCGTGTGCATGGAAAAACGCAAAATGAGGGAGGGAGGGAGGGAGGGCCATGCAAAAAAGTTGGGAGAGTGTGGAAATGTTACACCTTCCACTCGATTTTCCAAAGTTTGAGCGACTCACGGCTGCCGGTTTTGGGTTGATTTTCCTCCGCAGTGTACATTTGTATTAGTGTCTTCGTATTGAGATACTTTAACTATGACAGCCAATATAGCAGATCTCAAACACGTTTACCATCAGAATAGCACTGTATAAACTCTCAAGTCCAGACGTAGGTCAGTGAAAAGACATGAGGTAAACGATGTTGTGATGCAATATGTGCATGCAGTCTGTTATTATTACACAAAATCTATTGTCTTAGTAATTAACAGTAAATTAACACCCTTGAAGAACATTTTGACGGAAAAAAATTTCAGTGAAATTTCAACTCCACCCTCTACGGAGCCCTGCTGGTGACATCCCGTATAAATGAAAAAATGCCACGACTTAATAAGGCATGTGAATGAGATAATTAAGTCGTGGCCACCACTTAGTAAGGCGTGGGAATGAGATCATGCCTTACTAAGTCGTGGCCACACATTAGCATCTCGTTCTCACGCTTTACTAAGTTGTGGCCACGCATTAGAATTTCGTTCCCATGCCTTACTAAGTCGTGGCCACGACTTAGCTTGTTCCCATGCCTTACTAAGTCGTGGTCACAACTTAATTATCTTGTTCTCACGCCTTACTAAGTCATGGCCATGCATTAGGATCTCGTTCCCACACCTTACTAAGTTGTGGCCACAACTTAATTATCTTCTTCCCATGTTGTGGGATCTTGTCGTGGACACACATTAGGATCTCATCCCCATGCCTAAGTAGGTTCTCATTCCCATGCCTTACTAAGTCGTGGCCATGCATTAGGATATCGTTCCCACGCCTTACTTAGTCGTGGCCACGCATTAGGATCTCGTTCCCATGCCTTACTAAGTCATGCCCATGCATTAGGATCTCATTCCCATGCCTTACTAAGTCAAGGCCATGACTTAATCGTCTTGTTCCCACGCCATACTAAGTCATGGCCATGACTTAACTATTTTTTTTCTCATGCCTTACTAAGTCACAGCCACGCATTAGGATCTTGTTCCCATGCCTTACTAAGTCATGGCCATGCATTAGGATCTTGCTCCCATGCCTTACTAAATCATGGCCATGCATTAGGATCTCATTCCCATGTCTTCCTAAGTTGTGGCCATGCATTAGGATCTCATTCTCATGCCTAACTAAGTTGTGGCAACGACTTAATTATCTTGTTCCCATGCCTTACTAAGTCAAGGCCATGCATTAGGATCTCGTTCCCATGCCTTACTAAGTTGTGGCCATGACTTAATTATCTTGTTCCCATGCCTTACTAAGTCATGGCCATGCATTAGTATCTCATTCTCATGCCTAACGAAGTTGTGGCAATGACTTAATTATCTTGTTCCCATGCCTTGCTAAGTCACAGCCACGCATTAGGATCACGTTCCCATGCCTTACTAAGTTGTAGCCATGACTTAATTATCTCATTCCCAAGCCTTACTAAGTCATGGCCACACAGTAGGATCTTGTTCTCAAGCCTTACTAAGTCATGGTCACGCATTATTGTTATGTATACAGGATGTCACCAGTGGGGCTCTGTGTCTCTCTAATCACCGAACTTTCATTTTCTTCTTCTCGAGTTTGTTGACGGCTCCATTATTTCACTGCCTCTTTTAAACCCTGAGTATCACCAGAGAGAGTAAGTGGGCGGGGCTGAGTGCAGTTTGCTTGATAAGCTGCAGTCTTAGTAAATCGGTAAATTCAGGCGCATTGTAAGTGCATATTGCAGTCACAGCAAAGCATATTGCAGTACACATCCTCTTCAGAGAACACACTTCTGCACGTCTGATGCACAATTACTGCTTATTTGATGAATTCAACATTTAACATTTTTTAAAATATGGCTTGTGCAAAATTTTGGGCACAAGTCACATTTTATTTTAATTAGCTAATTTATTTATTTAGTTATTCTCCAGCATCATAAAATTTGCAAAAATAAAACAACTCACTGTAGGAACCAAACCTTCTCATAAATGGTAACCTTGCCAGAAAAGGAACTTTGAGTGTATATTAATGTAACAAGAAATTGAGATATTAGGTTTTGATCTGACAGCGATGATATGGTGGATTCCACCTGCCCACAGTCCCACAGCCCAGCAGGGCAGTCTGCCCACTACATGAGGAAGGGGCTCTGAATAAACCAACAGAAAACAAAATTTACAAAAATAAAATAAGACGAAAAAGCAAATAAAGTTGAATATAAAAAAGCATTGATTTGGCTATGCAGTGACCAATGCCCAGTGCTTAAAACACCTCTTAAAAGCAGGTTATCTCTCTCTCTCTCTCTTTCTTTCTGTCTCTCTCTCTCTGTGTCTCTCTTAAGCACCTTCTTTATTCATCTAGCTCCAGAAACCTGGTGATAAACACCCTCCGCTCACAAGAATCCTGTAAAAATACCTTCTGCTGTACAAAGAACAAACGCAATTACTTTAAGTGAACGGAACCCGTCATTCGCACCTGCTCTTTCAGTCCTTATTTGTTCTTTTTTTAACTAATTTGTGGGTTCGTTTTTTTCTCCTTTTCCCAGCTCTGACAAGAGACGCAGATTAGAGAGCAAAGCAAACAAACAATTCCATTACTCGCAGGTCTGGAGAAGAGAGGGGCGGCAAATGAGACGAGACGAGATGAGACGAGTACGGCTTCTTGCGCTGCAGGATGATGGGAATACTGCAGGAAAATGTACGGATCCGCTCTGATACACACACCCTGACGCAAGGATTTGTTAATGTCATATACAATATGCTCCCCTGAGAATGACCCTAATGGTGGAGAGCCGTCATACAGCATACAGACGAGGTGTGACATTAGAGACATTCGCAGAAGGTATGCAAGTTTGGAATCAGACAGGAATCGTCCATAAGAACTCACTACAAGCACACTGTGAAAAAAATACCAGTAAAAAAATTGGACTGGCCTACTTGTAGAAGCACTTTCCTTTGTTTTTGCTATTTTCCACAAGTTGAAAATAATAATAAAGGCATAAAAGCTATAAAACAAAAATATAAAATTACGCAATGCTATCTAATCTCAAAGGTTCAGCACTTGATTTATTTCTTATCTTAAAGAAAGGACCTTTTTCAGCAATTGCTGTGGATCCTTTTTTCATCAATTACTCCTATGACCTGTGGAGTCCCTCAGGGATCAATTCTGGGCCCCTTTCTATTTTCCATATACATGTTATCTCAGGGCTACTTTATTTGCAGAGACACTATTTCACTCTATTATTATGCTGACTATACACAACCATACCTTCCTTTGAAGTCAGGTGACAGTATGTTCTCAAGAGACCTAATATTATCTTAATGATTGTCTGTTGGACGTAAGAGCATCTATGGCTGTTAACCCTTTACAATTTAACGAGAGCACTTTATTTCTTTCTCCCCTAAACTAGTGACCAGGGGTTGTCACTGTAAATAAGACCATTTCTGTCCTTGAGTGATTTAGAAATGGTTTTGTTTAGATTGTTGTACTTGTTCATCCAAAGTGGGTCCATATTGTACCTATATTAGCATCGTTTCTTTGGGTTCCAGTCCAGTTTAAAAATGTGCGTCTTTCTTACTTGCTTTTCAGCCAAAGCTCAAAACATATTTTTAATCTGTGGCCTTTAGAGAAGAATGAAGGTATTAGATGTTTTATACAGTAATTAGTTGAACACAAACGACCAAAGATATAATGATGCATAGAGCACAAAAACAGACAGCAACTTAAGTTCCTTAAAGTGCGTAATCTCTACTCACTTTGGGGAACTGTTTGACAGGAATCAGCACTTTCTGACCCAGTTTCATGTTCTTGTTTATGACGACATCAATGAACTTCTCGTCCTCTTTCTCTTCGTCTTTCTGAACCTTTTCAATTTCTGCCAAAACAGGGAGAGAGAGAGAGAGAGAGAGAGAGAGAGACAACAGGGTGAGTCAGTTAGTCAGTCAAACATTAGGCAGAAAGTCTCTGAACACAATTAAGGGACAATAGATGTTTATCTGTCCACATATTGGCGTTAGCGGAGCTGGAATAATAGCCCGGGCGTTTGCCAGTTGTCAGTCACGCTAACAGTATTTTAGCTGTTCACTGAACTGTGAAATGAGCTCTCTTGGTCACGCTGTAATTTAATTGGATGTGCTTCTAATCGTATCTGATAGGTATCTCTCAGGGTTATTTCTGGCTGCGCGATCAGTACGAGCCTCCAGACGACTTCAGGAGCCGGGAGCACAGAGACGGGTCAGACCACAGGCGGAGGGGTCATCCTGAGGTTGAACGTAAAGTTCGACTCGCATCTGTGGCAAGTTGATGCCATTTACTTACGACGGCAAAGTTTTCCAGTCATTTTGTGACGAATGCACTGGTAGCGACTTTCTTCCTTTCTGTGCTATAAGCAGTTGTTTAGGCCCACAAGTACAGTAAAAGTTAAGTCACGCTTTATTTATTTATTTTCAGTCAAAATGGTCACTAAGCACAGGTTATTCATTATTTAGAAAAAGAGAGAAAACATATATTTAACAGAAAGTTACACAGAACCCTCAACTAAACTAGCTAAATACACATTTTTCATCATTTAGTATATCCATTCTTTACCTTTCTTACAGCTTCCATTTTTTTCAGGAGACTCACTTTCAGCTTCTCAAAGAAATCTGCAGCGATATTTTTCCACACCTCCAAAGTCTTAGAAGTTGGTTGCAACTTGTATTTAACTGCCAGATCAATGAACGGTGGTCTCTGACTTTTGCACAGTACTGTACCTATATATCTTTCTGACCAAGATGAAAGGAACCAAAGGTGCTTCAACCAACTACAGGTGAAGTGCAACCAAAAAAGTCTTACCAAGAAGTTAAGGACACCATACCAACGAAAAACTCTAACTTCATTTATTTGAAAGCATGACGTTTTGGCCTACATTCAAGGCCTTTAGCAGATGTACTGAAGTAAAGTCAGCGCTCATCCTGGGTAAAGATACACTATATGGCCAAAAGTATGACCACCACACTTATATAAGCTTATTAGACATCCCATTCCCAGAACCATTGGCATTCATTTGGAGTTGACGCACACTGGTGGCTCTAACAGCCTCCACTTATGTGGGAAGGATTTCCACAAGATTTTGGCAGGAATTTGTGCTCATTCAGTCAAAAGAACACTTGTGAGGTCAGTCACTGATGTCGGACAAAAAGGTCTGGCTCACCATCGATGTTCCAGTTCATCCCACAGGTTTCCGTTGGGGTTGAGGTCAGGGTTCTATGTAGGCCGCTGGAGTGCCTCCACACCAAACTCATCAAACCATGTCTTTAAGGAGCTCACTGGAAGCATGTAATTGTCTAAAATGCCTTTGTGTGCTGTAGCATTAACATTACCCTTCACTGGAACTAAGGAGCCTGAAAAACAGCCCCAGCCCATCATCCCTCCTCCACCAAACTTTACTGCTGGAACCATGTATTCTGGTAGGTCGTGTTCTCCTGGCATCTGCCTAACCCAGATTCATCCATCTGACTGCCAGATAGTGAAGCATGATTCATCTCTCCAGAGAACACATTTCCACTGATCCAGAGTCCAGTGGTGGTGTGCTTTCCACCACTCCAGCTGATGTTCGGCACTGTGCATAGTAATCTCGCTTGTGTGGATCTGCTCGGCCAAGGAAATCCATTTCATGAAGCTCCAGACACACAGTTCTTGTGCTTTTGCTGCTTCCAGAGGCAGTTTGGAGCTCTGTAGTAAGTGATACAACAGAGGATAGACGTGCTCTGCACTTCAGCACTTTGCGGCCTTGCTTGTTGTTGCTCCTAAATACTTCCTTTTTCACAGTAATAGCACTTACAGTTGACCAGGGCAGATCTAGCAGGGCAGAGATTTTATGAACAAGCTTGCGACAAGGTTGCATCCTATGACAGCACCATGTTTAAAGTCTCTGAGCTCTTCAGTAATGACCCATTCTACTGCCAGTGTTTGTCTATGGAGACTGCACGGCTATGTGCTTGATTTTATACACCTGTTCGCAATGAGTGTGGCTGAAACACCACATGAAACACACCATATCGTGCAGCACTTCATAGAAAGAGCTCAAGACAATGTCCACAACTCCAGAGGTCCTAAGATTCAATCCCAGCTTCTTAAGAAACCCCAATATGCCTCTGCTGCTGGTCAAAACGGTCCGCTGGTTATTGATGCACCATTTCACTTTAAGACTGCGAACTTATATATTCACCCCTAATAAACATCTAGTCGTAATGTTCAGTCAGTAATAAAAAAAGAAAAGTGCTGAGCACGCAGTGAGCAGCATGGCTGGACTCCAGTTCAGTACATGTTGGAGGAGAAGAGAGAGAGACAGAGTTTATCAGTCACAACACACTACTGCGGAAACCACCCCATTAACATCTAATGAGTTGCACAGCACTTCACAAACAATTTAAATATGAAAGAGCTCATTAATAATCCTTACTACAGACTAAATATGAACTGTCATCCAGGGATGCCTATTCCAGTTCAATGTTATGTATGGCTGTTGCATTATTCCTGGCGGGCCTGAGAGACATGATGTAAAATTCCTCTCACTCAAGCTCAACTATGGTTTAATAGTGAGCAGAATGGATAACCAGCCAACTACCAAACCAGTTCCAAGTCCACACAAGATGTACTCTAAACATCTAAGACCTCATTTAGCAGCATCAACCAGACAAACAGATCACTACTGCTGTCAAATCGGTTCTATCATTTGGTCAAAGGGTGTGACAGTGTTCTAGCCAATTAAGTCTCTCCAATTCCAGGGTGAAACTGTACTGAACTGAAGTGTCATTGAGATGTACATTCACCGAGCACTTTATTAGTAACAGCTTTACACCTACTCATTCATGGAATTATCTAATCAGCCAATCGTGTGGCAGCAGTGCAGTGTATAAAATCATGCAGATATCCAGCAGCGTCAGGTGCTGTTCACATCAACCATGAATTAAAATGAACTGAATTAAACGGAACTGAATTAAATTTACTTAAACAGATACTAGACTGAATTGAACTAAACTGAACATACTTAAACTGAACTGAACTGAACAGATTTAAATTTTAACTGAACTGAATCAAACTAAACGGAATCAAATTGAACTGAACTTAACTGAATTAAATAAATCCTAAAATGAAGTGAACTGGATTGACTCGAGCTTGAACTTGAAATGACATGAACATTTCAAAACTGACGCGAACTGAACATGACAGAGCGGAATTAAATTGAATTCAACTGAAGCAATGTGAATCTGAACTGAATTTAACTGAACAGAATTGAACTGGATTTATCTGAGCTCAGCTGAACTGAACTGAATTAAATTGAACAGGATCAAACAGACAGAATTGAACTGAACTGAATTAAATTCAGTCAAACTCAACAGTATTGAATAAAACTAAACTGAACTGATTTGGATTGAGGTGGACCTAACTGAACAGAATTAAACTGAACTGATGTGAACGGAACGTGACAGTACGGAACTAAATTGAATTCAACTGAAGGAAATTGAACTGATCTGGATTTGAACTCAATTTAACTGAGCTCAACTGAACTGAATTAAACTGAACAGGATTGAACTGAAAAGAACTGAACTGAATTTAACTGAGCTCAACTGAACCGAACCAAACTGAACAAGGTCAAAGTGAACAGAAATGAACTGAACTGAATTCAATTCAGTCGAACCCAACTGAATTGAATAGAAGTGAACTGATCTGAACTGAAATAAACTGAACTGAACAGAGTTAAACTGAACTGTTGTGAACTGAACTAAATGTACTAGATTTGCAATAAAAATGAGCTGAACTGACTTGAATTAAACTAAACATGAACTGAATTAAACTGATTTGAATGGAAACCAACTGAACTCAACTGATTTAGACTGAACTGAATTCAAAACATGGCACTTTATGTCTATAAATTTCATAAACATCCGGTCAGGAAAAGCAGGGTTTGCACGTGTTTGTTTGCTGGCACATGCTGATAATGAGTACAATAGCACCTTTACCCAGCGCCCTGCTGAGTCCCAGGCTTTGATCTGGGCCCAGACATGAGAGATCACGGCTGGACTGTGTGCATCTTTTCAGCATTTCCCTTTCAAATGGCCACTAACAAGCGGAACAGATGTAGCAGTAAAGCCAGTGTGGCTCTTTAAAGCTTTGGCTGATCCCACCGGGTGCCACTAGCTCCCTCATTTGCTCTCCAAACGCAAGATTAATATTTAGACAAAGCCACATGCCGATCCAGAACGAAAGAAAAAAAAATAAATAAATAAAAAAAACGTTCAGCTCTCTCACTGTTTCATTCGCAGTCTCTCACCTTCTATTTTCCTCGGTGCGAATGCGAGTGTGTCTCCCTGTTCTACTTAAAGACGGCATGTCCTGGCTCCATGGTTCACTGCACGTCTCATTTCAGGTTATGGTTCCAGGCTCGTGTAATGACTCCTGTGCCAGCGGAGCCGAAATCAAACATCAGGCCGATCTCTCCACTGCGCTTTCAGATTGGCACCAACATCTGCCCTACTCTCACTTAGCCTGATGCCCTGTCTGTCCTCCAGACCCCTCTAGCATTAGGGATTCAGTCCTAGGAGTAGGCCTGGGCAGGTAACAGAATCCTCGGTAACATTTTATTTTCAGGAGCACAGATTGGGGGTTTAATAAGGGGGGGTATAATATTGGGGGTTTAATGAGCCCAATATAGACACTCAATGGTTTACTGACTATGCATTAAGCTTTCTTCATTATAACCTGTATTGGTACACAACTGGAGGGCTGTTGGGTGAAATGAATTTGCATTGTTAGTTGTAATAATGCACTATAAAGATCTGTTACGCAAATTATTGTGCATGAATTATGGTCTACAGTCACCCTGAATTAGTG